TAAGGAAGTTGATTTGGTGCAGCTGGTGGGCAGCGTGCCAGCGCGGGTCGTCTCGAAAGTCCGATGAAGTCACAGCTGGTCCATGCAAATAATTCAGGTGGTGGCCGGGCGGTTTGAGCAAAAAACGGACCACAGTCAGGCTACCGCGTTTTAAAAAGGAGCATAACTCATGTACAGTTTATTGTCGAGTAGGAAAATGTGGTAAATGTCGCAGGCCTGGTAAGTGAGGCAATTTCTAAGATGTCCGAGCTCCGGAACGCGCCTGAGAACTACGTTTGTTTCTGTCCCTACTTTGGCGCGCTGACGTTAGGCTATCGAAGTCACTTTACTGGTTTACCGCCAACCGTGATTGTTCATTGAGTGAACTTAGCTTTTTGAGCAAAAGGTAGGTTCGGAAGCAAGCAAACCGCTCTAAGGTGAATTTGGAAGTTGTGATATGAATTTGGTTGCGCATGCTGCAAAAAGGCGCACATGCAAGATAAATTCAGGCTTGACCGAGATACTTCCGCGGGTACCTATATAGACCGGTGAAAAGCCCTATAACTGACCCAGTTCAAACCTGGCCAATATGTAGATGATCAACTCCAAGTCGGCAGCGTATCAAGGGTGAACAAAGGCTGCTAAACTACAGATCCAGGCCGGACGAACTAAAAAGACATACATTTGGAAGGCACTTTGGTATGCTCATGTTAAAACCTGCTACGCCTCATATGTGTTTTCTCGGTAAATGTGTCCACGCGAGGTACTTTGCATGATATTCACTTCTTCAATATCACCCTCTACACCTTTTGACTTTACGTTACTGACATATCCTGGCATATGCTTTCCCGCCGGCCTGGTCAGGACCTGATGATGGAAAGTTAGGCACAACAGGAAATTCGCTTAAAGAAGGAGCATTGGAAATATGACAGCAACTCCACGTTCAGAACGATAAGATATAAAAATATTTGTCAGAGGACCAGACTTATCTGATGATGAAATTGGCCAGCATCTGTCCAGCAACTCGACATAAGCTTATCCATGCTATCATTCCCAACACGGGTTTTCTTGTACATATCTCTGTTTCTACGACTCAAAAACAGCTGCGAGATGTTGCAGTCTATTTTCTGTCCCGATTCAAGTGTTGAACTTTGAAAGGGCTACCAGCATGTAAAGACTGGCATCCTGGCAACCTTTGCAAGGCACGACACTTGCATGTGGAGACTTGCATGCTGGTAGACTGCGACTGGCCTGCTGTGGCAATGGAAGATGAGCTTTTTCGTATCAACATCATAGGACAAGGATCTAATTCTGTACCAAAAATAAAACACAGGAGCACCGGAATAAACCGAAACGAGTCCCATCCTTCATCGTTAGATCAATCCGGTGATACTGCAAGTAATAGTATGGAAACGATGCAAAAGTAGTATGCCACGTTACAAACAGGGAGCACCCGCGCTGCACCGCTGCATTACTGACTCCTATCCACTAGCCGTGTGCGGACAGTATCAGGTCTCGTGCCACCCCCCACCCGGCCGGGGCCGTCTCTCGACTGACTAACTCGTACGGTGACTAGGCGCCGGTCGACGCCGGGCGAGGCTTTATCAGCTCCGCGTCGCCGGTCGTGGGATATCACCGTGGTGGCGCTGCGTCCGGTTGAACGCCAGTGTTTTGCAGCTGCGGCGGAAGCGCCGCTAATCAGGTGCGGCTGTGTTGTTTGTGGTATGTTTCATAGGCCATGACGTGTTCTTGCAGTTTCGAAAGTGTCCGTTGAATTTCATATTTCCTTTCGTTGAATATGCTGTGTGCTTCCGGTGTGGCGGTTTCCAGTTACAATGGCTGAGCCCTCTTATCAGCCTCATTACTCGTATCTTTCCAGTTACACTCTTATCAGACCCAATAATCAGAGAAATTCAAACCAGAAAACGACACTTGCTCCCATGCATTTGAGTGGTCTGCATAAAGACGTTGTCGGGCTTTGCTGCCAGCGACATTCGTGCAATCCACGGCCGAGCCGGAGACGTCTCGGCCGTGGATTGATTGAAACGTCAAATTTTAGATGGACAGTGACGAGACTGGAGTTCTTCTTTTTAGGATTTCAGGGTTCGCGTTGAAGTAAATTTAAAAGGGTTCTACCGCTCTGCCTTTTAAATTTAACGTGTAGAAAGGGATGCGTATTGAAACGTCCAGAGTTCATGAAGTCCAGTAGTCAAAAAGTCCAGAATCGCAGCATCCAGCGTTCACAAGGTCCAGAAAACGTCCAAAACCCCTGGACAGAGGAGAATCATAAAGTCCAGTGTTCATAAAGTTCAGTGTTTATAGAGTCCAGCGTTCATAAACTCCAGGTGCGTGAGATCCACGGGTTGGGATACTGTCCCACTTCCTCGTAATCCTTCAACTAATGGTTTGGATTTTGCCCGATAAAGGGCCACCGGAGCCGATGTCGCCCGCCTCAGCCGACGAGTGACGTCATGCGGTGCAGTGCTGCCCAGTTAAACCGCTGTGCATGGATATGGGCAGCGTTTTGTTTGAGCGTACCAACTTTGCCGCGTCAGCACGCCCTTGGCAGCAGGCGCATTAAGGAATTCAAAGCTCTGATACCTGGCTCGTGGCATCGGAAATAGCTGGTTACTCGGCAGTCGCTGCACGGTAATCGTGGAAAGCCGGGTACCTGCTGTTTCCACCCCAGGCCTGGAGTTTATCGAGACGGGTGCAGTTCACGCCGCAGAGGGGCGATGGTGGCATGGTGGTTGGCGGTTAGGGTGCTCCATGAGCAGAGAAAAGCAGAGAGCAGAGGAATGAGCAGATGAGCAGAGAAAAGTCCAGAGATGAACACTACTCATCTTTGGACTTCTCTATCCTGGAATGGAGTCCTGGCCCCACACTACCGCATCCCACGTACCTAACGCTTGACAAATGCGTAATAGGGGCGTTCCGCCTCGAAATAGCCATAGTAGCCGGTGAGACGTAAAGCTTCAATCGGTATCACAGCCCCTACGAGAAACAAACCACCGGCCGCCAAATTTGCAAACAATGCTTCCGCTCAATCACTGTATATACGTGGGAGTACTAATTTGCAATCGATTGGACGCGGAGCTCGGCCACACAGGCCTGCCATGAGGCTGCCCAGCTCGACGGTCTGGCGGCAGCCACGCCCGCGGCGGGCCGGCGGACGAGGCAGCCCGGCCGCCAAAAAAAGAACACATTCACATGTGCGCTGTCCCTCGTCCAAGAACCAAACAGCGCCATACGCGCGCGAGGCCTGTTCGTGCGGCAGCCCGTCCACGGTAGAAACGCTGCCAGCTCAGTTGGGTACACCGCCATCTTCGCGTCAGGGCCCGAGGCCCCTGACTCGGTTTCATTCGGTTCGCCGCGGTTCACATCCCGGAGGACCGGACATCCGGACGTGTCGGATATCTCAGGATTTCGTTCGTGCTGGACCTGAGCTGGACGGAGCTGCCCCCCCCCCCCCCTCCCTCCTCCTCCTCCTTGACGGGCGCCTTAATGGAAGAGCCCCATGCCAGTCAGGGCCCAGCACCCCTCTGCCCGTTTTCTCTAGGGCCCAAATGCGTCGAACTGGGATCCTTGTGCTATTCATTAAACCCGCTACTCTTGGGACCTTTTTGAAACGGTTAGTGGCCCCGCGTTGATCCAGGGTCAACCATCTCGGTCAGAGGGTCTTCGGCGTCAGAGAGCGGACCAATGTATAAATGTAAAATGTGTAGTAATAGTAATCGAATGACAATCTGAAAGGGGACGGAAAGGTCCTTCAGCCCCAATTGAGAAATGCATGGGGTTTCAAGTCTTGGCTGAAAACTCTTGGGGTCTGGCTGTTGAAGGGGGGGGGGGGGGGGGTAGGTGGACGGTGGGAGAAGGTTGAGGGGTCCAGGAACCTCTTGGGAAGAGCTCTTTTCAGGACCGTGAAGTCCAAAAAAAGACCATACTGAATGGGAAGAGCAAAAACATTGCCAAATAAAAATTCTGACAGCACCGTAGCAGCGTCTGGCAGTCCAATAAGCTCTCTCTGGTAAACTCATGGACCCCATCTCGCCGCTCAGTCGGGACATGCGGTTAAGTCATTCATCAGATTTTGCGCCAGGTAGTGGTCCACAATCAGCCAAGACAAAGGGCCATTGGAAGGTTAAGTCGATCGCATTTGTTATCGAAAATTAGCTTTAGTGCGTGTCCCGTTCACTAACGACAGTCTCATGGCAGGGCAATGTGAATGCACCTTCAAAAATACTTATGCCTCAAAAACACTGCCACACCAAATGCTCACATGCATCATACATGTGTTTGCGATTGACGGTGACAAGTTATTTAGATGACTCTTTCGGTGAAAATGACAGCATGTGGAGCGATTTTCTGTTTCTTGTAAAGATTGTCTGGCCTCCGGAATATCTGGCCGAATTATGACCGGAGTGACATAACGGGAGAGCTTTGGCACCCACAGATCGGAGTGCAAAAGTATGCATTCATGTAATGTTGCGCTCAGGAAATATGTGGCTGATAGTACTATCCCTTCTGCATGTGCGTTGTACGTACGTTTAAGTACATATGCTCGATGTATGTCTTAGCCATCGCCCTAATTCGCCGTTCTGCATAATTCGGTCTGATAGGGGGAGAGGGGGTTGATGCGACCCTCCCCCGGCGTTTCCAAGCTTATGAAGATAGAGTTTGGCGAGAACAGCAGTATATTGTCCTGAACACAATCCCACGATCGGCACCAGTTTTTACGTTGTTGACAGGTCAAAAGTCGAATTTTACAGAAAACCGCACTTTGTAGCTTTATTTTATGTTGACGAGAACAAACCTTGCGGTGACACGAACCTTAAATTGGCGTGTGTCTTGTCGCCGACTTTGGCGATTGAAAGAACAATTGAAGGTGCTCCAAAACTTCCCTTTCAAGGGGTACCGAAATAAAAGGGCACCACGATTGCCCTGCCTTACATTGTTGAAATATTGGTTTGGATCCTACGGTGAAAAGGCAGCAAGAACCTTGACTGCGGGGCATCATAACATTTATTTCTATAAGCCTTCAATTAAAATTGCAACCCCACAATCGGCCCAAACATTCATTTTAAGTCGATGCAAGATTCCAGGGGCAGTTAAGCTTTATTTTGGTGGGAACCGAATTAAGCACGACCCCCTCCTCCCTCTTAGGCCCGGAGGGTCCCATGGGTTCCGAAGGTCCTTATTTGGTCCCTTGGGGCCGAATATCAAGGGCCTGATGAAATGGTCCGAAGAGCAGGCCAGAGGTTGTATGGAGGGATCACGGCCCGAAGGCCGGACGCTAAAATGTAAGAGTACCTTTATCACCCATCGGAGACCCGTGCGACTGTGTCTGTTTGAAGGAACTGACTGAGAACAGCCATATTGAACAGTCCGTTCCGTGCTATTCTGGGGCCTTCCCCGAGCAAGAGACAAGGCCAAGATCTCTAAATGCCAATTAGAGGGCATCCCGCATTTATCGGAACACCTGAAACAATGAAGGGCCCACATTGCTGGTCAGTGACCACAGTTCCTAGCAGGAAACCATGTGTCCGCAATGAGCCCCAGGTCGGCCAGGAGTACATTTGCTGAATAGGGACGATAATGGGCCCTTGTACGTCAAAGGGCCTATTGTGCTGGCCTGGTCTGGACCCTACTAACAATAAAAGGCTTCATGAGCAATAACAAAAGGGGGGTTCTCATGTACGGTGAGACAGTGGAGAGGCCTGTGCCAGCCAGGACACCGGAACCGGGCAAGGGATCCTCTGCGCCATTTCAACCAAAGACCGATAAGACGAATTAGTGTCTCAATACCAATGACCGGACTTCCTGTGCCAGTAAAGAGTCTGTTTGCACCAGCGAAGGCCCTTGCGCTGATCCGTTGCTGGACGTCTCAGTTAGATGGCCAGCCGCATCGAGGAGGGGACCGGTTGTGATGCATCTTTCTAAAGGGTCTCCGCTCGGTCCTGGGGGCTATTACTAGACTAAAAGCCGCTGGGAACCCCAGATGGGACGTAATGCCCTTCAGCTGCTGACCAGAACGTTTTACCAATGCAATTCAGCTGACTGACCAGTCGATTCTCTGAACGGGCTCAGCGTTGCAGCATTACGAGCAAGTGGGATTCAATCCGTACCGACAAACAATATAAAAATTGCGCTAGTGAAACATCCGGCAACGGGACACCATTTGCACGCACATCCATTGACTTCAAAAAGCGTAGGAAAGTACCGATATCGATACGTGGTTATTTCCACCCGCCTTTTGACCGCTGCCAGGTGCTGCTGCAAGGTTCCGTATGCTGCAACGGTGCATCTACAACATTTTTGTTCCGACGTCTCACAGAGCATCTCACGGAGGGGGCACCGAGGAATCACGTACAGCCCGGCCATAATACTCCTCTCGCGCGCCGAGCGCTTACACAAAACGCTGCAACTTCATCATCTATATAAAACAATGAAACTCAACGTTCTGGATGCATTTCTCATTCATGACCGGAAACGACTTCTAAGTAAAAAAGGAATCAAACTACTGAATTATCTCTTTTGAGCAGTATCACAAATAGCTCACTTAGACAGGCAACAATACACTGATGAATGGCGCGAGTATTGGGTGATTGGCATGCAGTGTTGTAATTTGCTGTGTTGATTGTGTTATTCACAGTGTGTGGTGTTAATGATGTCTTCTG